AACAACACCGACTGAACACGCAACAACACCGACTGAACACGCAACAACACCGACAGAACACGTAACAACACCGACTGAACACGCAACAACACCGACAGAACACGCAACAACACCCACTGAACACGCAACAACACCGACTGAACACGCAACAACACCGACTGAACACGCAACAACACCGACAGAACACGTAACAACACCGACTGAACACGCAACAACACCGACAGAACACGCAACAACACCGACTGAACACGCAACAACACCGACTGAAGGCGCAACAACACCGACAGAACACGCAACAACACCGACTGAACACGTAACAACACCGACTGAACACGCAACAGAACCGACTGAAGGCGCAACAACACCGACAGAACACGAAACAACAACGACTGAACACGCAACAACGCCTCCTGTAACATCGCATACTGGAGGCGTAACAAGACCTTCCCGAGGAGTAACAACAACTAGTGAATACGTAACAACGTCTCCAGAAGACGTAACGTCACAGACTGTGACAACTATGACCACTAAAGACGAAGAAGGAATAGCTACTGAAAGTTTTACGTTGCCATCAACTCAGTCAGTAACTACGCAAGACCTTATAGAACAAACATCACCCGGAACAAGTTCCGTAGCAAAACCCGSAACAGAATCCGCAACTTCACCTTCTACTGAAGACTTGACAACATCATTAACTTACGATAGAACAACAACCTCTACTTACGGACGCACAGCTACTCAAGACRTAACAACATTTACGACTACTGAACCRTTGCCACATAMTRAAACCGTAACAACAGCCGTAACTRAGCCAACGTCTCGAACTGAAGACAATGGTTATACAGTAACAGCTGAGACCGCTACTCAACCCGTAACAACCGTTAATAACAAAGGCAGTAATGTAATAACGCACGCTAGCGAAAACGGTAAAACCATTTCACCCGTAACAGAAACAGTAGCGCATGATAGCGAAAGCGGTAAAACTGAGCATGCTAACCGACTAACATCCACAGACAACAAATGGGRAATAAGTACMGAAGAATTAGTCGGACTAGTGACCGATGTCATTATCCCTCATGYGGAGTCGACTACAAGTCCAAATAAACCAAGAACAACTTCATTTCAGACGAGCACCTCTGAAAACACAGGTAAAACACTGAACAGTGTTCAACTTGTACTTGATCAGGTATATTCACTATGAGAAGTATGCACGACATGACAGTAGTTTTAAAGAAGACCCGAAAAAAATAGCACAAATCAAAGTTAAACCAAGTCAAACTACTAAGAAAATCAGGTTTATATATTGCCACATATGATAAAATATTCTGATGAAGGCTTGAAGTTATAGAAGCCGAAAACTCATGTATAAATATGTACTTATTGACTGAGTGGGAGGGCCGTACGGGAACTTGAATATTTGGCTCGAGGTTATGCCGTACAAATGACCGAGAGCCAAATATTTTCCCGTACGGCCCGACCTAACTCAGTCAATAAGCATTTTATCATATGACAGCGTACAAATGACCGAGAGCCAAATATTTTCCCGTACGGCCCGACCTAACTCAGTCAATAAGCATTTTATCATATGACAGCGTTTTTTAATGTAAAAAAATAATTAAAAGCGCGCGGAACTTCAAGCCGGGAAAATACGGGTTTGTACGGACCTGTCGCGAAAAGGCGTACGAACCCCATCACGTKACCATTTTCCAAAGTTTTCAGTGAGAGCGCGCGTAGGGCCGAAATACGGGTCATATGATAAAAATATTTAGGTCARTTTTACTCTTATATACATCMAGTTTATGAAGAATTGACAAAACCTTTCTTGTTATTAACTTAAACAGGAAAAACCAAGTGTCAAACGATGCAGATTAAAGCTGAATCTCCATTGATTGGAGCATTTTACCCAGAATGCAAAGAGAATGGTGAATTCCAGGAAAAGCAATGCTGGGGGTCTACAGGAYATTGCTGGTGTGTTGACCAGGAAGGCAATGAAATTCCAGGAACAAAAGTCCAGTTCAAACAACCAAACTGTGCTCTTGCAGGTAAGTGCTAAACGAACTGGCGTCAAATATTTGCAGTCTGTTTTTATCTTAGTTTCTTTTTTTAAAAGAGACATCGACTACGGCTCAACCAAGTACAACAGAAAGCATTGCTCCTAGCACCAAGGTGACGAAACAAAAAAGACAGAAAGATGTTCCTGCTTCCCCACCAACAAAAAAGAGCAAACGGAAAACTAAAACYACACCRAAAACAGGTAATCRGAACTTGAATGAATGGAAGGAATTGTTCGATCGATCGATCGTTTGATCAATTAMTCAATAAATCAATCATTCAACCAATAGATCGATCAATTAATTATCAATCAACCGAATGAAAATCAGATCAACTCATTAAACCTAATATAAATATCTATTTTTTAGAATGTAAAGACAGGCTTAATAACTGTGCAAAACTCATCGCAAAGAACAAGGATTACTGYGAAAACTATGTAAATTATATGAAAGAGTATTGTCGCAAGACGTGCAATTTTTGCAGTAAGTCACTAAAAATTGAACGTTAACGAAAATGAAATCAAAATAATCTTCCATCTTACCTATCACTGATGAAATATTCGTCTTTCCTTMCTAATTCCTTTTCGCCGTCTATTTCATTGCATCTTGTCATTTTTTCCTCTTTAAAAATCAATTTTCCGTTCTGTCTATCATTTTATCTCACAATTTATCCATTCTTTCCAAATCTCTTGCTGTCCTTTCGAACTGTTTATGAAGTGTTTTCTGTTGTTAGGTCCAACTGTAGCCATCCCTAAATGTAGAGATAAACGCAAGCGTAAATGCAAACGTTACGCGAAGTTCCAAGGGTATTGCACAGTTTACAAGGATTACATGTCAGARATGTGCCCAAGGTCTTGTAGATTCTGCGGTAAGSTTCGATAGGGAATCATGATGTACAAAATTAAGCATTKCGTTGGCTTCTTCAAACATATGAAGTCTTATCATTCTTAGTTTCAKCACGCCTTTAATAGCTGGAGTTATACTTGTGTTGGGCGCGCTTATAGATCTAAATGAGGACAGTGGCTTCATTGAGATATTGAACAGTTTTATTTTTGTAGGTGTAGCTGTAGTAAACAAGAAGATAGCCTACAAGGTTTACAATGAGGCAAGTAAAATGGATCATTCCTTCGTTTTTTCCTTCTCTCGCTCCATCCACCCTCCAACCCCTTCCTTGCTTCTATTCTTGTTTACTTCCTTTCTACCTTCCTTCCTTCCATTTCCCTTTTTTTATTCTTTCTTTTCTCCTTTCATACGCCTGCTCTTTGTGTGTTTATTTTATGTTGACTCAGCTGTGATAACCGTGAAACTGGTACCCGCCCCCAACACTACAGTTGGATAACCTTATGACAGAGACCTGCGTTTTGTTCGCCAGAAGAACCGCGCTAAAAGGCAGTAAAACGATTCATAAAAAAGATAAGAAAACATCAAATGAAACTAAACCTCCATTTAATTTGATTCGCCCGAAATGTTTACTTAAAACTCTAATCAAACGAGAAAAGACACATTTTCAGAGTTGAGAAATATAATGATCTCTGCGTGAAAACTTAAACGAATGAGTCAAAATTATTTTTTGTCTGCACACGTTGAATTGGATACAAGAAATCCTTGAGAAAAATCCGACACCACAAAATACTAGCTTTACTGTAAATACCAGTCAAACTGTTCCAGTAAACGTTAATTTATCCAGCAGGATTTGGAGACTGGTCTTCAGTCACAACGGCGTGAAACTGTACAGTATACAGCACAGCTAAGCAAGCAATAGTTTGACATGTTTTTACTGTATGACAGCTGTGTCGCATGACTTTACGTAGACTGTACATTTAAGCAAACATACCCAGTTCATATCTAAAAGGGTAAAAAGATAAAACACTCCATTTTTTGCGTGAAAGGAGTAACAATGTTGGTTGTAACAGTCGCAGTACTTGTAGCTTTGTCAGTCGGGTGTGGAGTCGCGTGCCCACAGGTATTACTRCGTCAAAGACTCTTTCGTTATTCTTTTTTTTTCTTTTATATCTTTCCATCCCTTCCTTTTTATTTGCACTCTTTTTGGGGGGTTTTATTTTCCCCTAGCTGTATTCCGTGTTTCTTTTCTGATCTCACTCTGGTCTCCGATCAATCGTTCTTTGTCGCATCAACAGAAATACGAGTTTGCAATCAAGACAATGTGGGACGGCTCCCCCATCAATCACGACCCTATCAAGATCAAACTAAGTGCTGAAGATAACCTTAATGTACGCCTGGAAGTAAGTGGACCCTTTTTTGATCAGCCAGGAAAGCCCCCGTGCTTGGCAGGGCAGCCTTGCTGGAGACTCTGGGAATATGAAGGTATTTTGAGACTATGACTTTTCGTATCATTGCTAGACACTAAACCTAAGACCTCATTTACCGCACATGGGATCCCTGTGTTTTACCCCTGGAGAACGCGAGTAGCGCGCGCGTCCGTAAAAGTGTCAAAGGAAGTTACAAGGTTATTGCTGTCAGTTTCCTATGAGTCAACTTTATCTCTTTAGTTGCGGAGGTATTTTTCCTTGGAGACAAACAGAAATATTTGGAGCTTGAGGTCTCACCGTAAGTATCTTATGAAGAGAAACTAATTTTGATTGGCTAGTCGTAATTTTGGGATACGTCATAAGTTTTGATTGGCTATTTTAAATTCTGAAATACATCATAAGTTTTAATTGGCTAGTTGCAATTCTGAATTATACAACATAAGTTTTGATAGGCTAATTTTCATTCTGATGWGGTTTTGTTTGAATATGCTGAATATAACAAGCTTTATAATTGGTTAAAGAGTGAATCATAATGCACGTTTTGATTGGCTAAAATCCAGGAAACTGAGTAACTTACATAATCTTTGTTTTTTTTTCCTTAGCCATGGCCCACATCTGTTGCTTCTTCTTGATGGAGTACGCAAGCCTTTCAAGGTAAAAATCTATCTCAAAACAATATAGTTGTGATAACGACCAATGATGGCATGTTTTATATTGACCAATGATGATGTTTCTTTAACTAGCCATTGATAGCAGGTCTWATATTTCTGCTATTTAATCAGGTTTCTTATGAGTGTAATTTTATTAGACTAAGTTACCAATGAGGTATTCAGCAACGATCGATAATATCAAGAAGACATGGAATGGTACAGCGATTGTGCCCATCGATTACTTCCCACCCAACATGAGAAAGATCAATGCTTATGCTATTCATGGKCCTGACAATAGTAAAGTGTACCAGGCGCTCTACCCGGCCAAAGGCACTCTACATCCTGACTTGTAAGTATGGTAACAAATGGATGAATAAATGAGCTAAAGAATGTATATTCTGCATGACTGATAACTGACTGAGTTGAGACATTAAGGAAGGAAGGACAGAAGGAAAGAACAACTGAGAAAGACATGAAGGAATCTGTTGAATAAACATGGCAGATTAGATTGTAGATTGATGAAAAGAATAAATTAACAAGTAAATGATGATGATTGACGAATACAAGAGAATGCACAACAGTACTAGCAATTAAACAATAATGCATTTATTCAATGTTAGTTTCTTACCCTTTTTTCTTTCAGCCATCAGCTWAAGTTTTTTCAAGACTTTGATTTCAAGTCGATGTTTCCACAAGCATGGACTGCACAACCAATGTCTCCATTCTGGGTTGATAGGAACTAGCTGCTGCACTTCAATATTATTTAAACAACTCTAAGACATTCAATTAATGTCTTGCTTCAACAATATCTGTCGAGATATGCTACAAAACAATATAAGTATATATATAAATATATATTCATTAAAAAGACTCTTGATTCTTTTTCAACTTTTTCAAATTGGGATGCCTGTGGTATAGAATTTTTGGTCCATGGGCTTCCTGTGGTATTRATCAATGCTCAAGCAAAGAATAAAATTGTCAAGCTCTTTTTGGTTCTTTTTAACTTTCTTTAGATATTTGTAAAAGAGGTCAATATAGTATAATAAAATGAAGAAAAGGAAAAAACATTTTTGACTGCATGTTTTTTTAGTGCTAAACAAATAACATAATTGAAGTATGAAATTCAAGTAGGAAGGATAATGTGATGAGAAGGGAAAAATGGAATGTGATAGAAAAGGAGAAAATTAAAAGAATGAAAGAAAAAACACAATGTCTTGGGTTTCCTGTGTTTCTGAACACAAGCGCATGCTTATTGACGAAAACTGCTGGTTACACGAAACAGGCTCATGGAAAAATAAAAACAAGAAATGAAATGATATCGGCAGTGAAAGGTGAGGCATATTACTAAGTCTTTTTTATTCAAATTACACAGATGGTTTTTTTTCATTATGTGTGTTCCTGTGAGAACTTTTGCGTGGTGTCTAAATCGTATAAATTTACCCTGAAAAAATGAAATCTTCACGTATTCGCCATCTTGACAAACGGCAAAATCTAAACTTATATTGCAGTTGTTTCATTCGTCGTGGTACTGATATATTATTTTCTGTTGGATCTCAGCTGAATAAGCAATGAAGAAATTGTTTGAGAAGGCAAAGCTTGAGATCAAGTTCAGGAAGGCTGGAGAGGGRCATACATTATCGGAGGACAAATCTAGTAGGCCCTCAACATCACACTCTAATACAGGACCTACAAATAGAAGTGTACCTTGTACTAGTGCACAGAGGGCAGGGGAGGTAGTGTTGTCCATCTGTTTATTTTATTATTCATTCAATCATTATTCCATTTATCGATCTTGAATTTATTTTTCATTATTGTTTTCCTATTTCTCATTATCCAATCATTCTTCAATTCCATTTCTAGGCGGCCCTTCAGAGGTTTAGCCAACAAGAGAAAGCWTCCAATAAAAAGCCTCAGTCAGCTACTGCGGCATGGAAACATGAATCTCAACCTCAACCCAGCTCAACAAGCAGCTCGAGYTCATCATTAGATTTTAAGAAGTTGAAAAATGAAGGTAACTTCTAGCAATGTGTATTTTTTTATTTTTTCACACTTATAAACTGTCATGTAGAAATAAATAGTTTGATGATGAAGTAATTATGATGCAGTTCAAAGGGAAATAGAGGCGGATAAAGCAAAACAAACTGCATCATCTACTCCTGTTCCTAGATTGACTCCAGCAGAGGTAAAAATATTGATAATGATTAATAATAATTATTATATGCACTCTCATCACAATAATTAACAAATTATTAAAAAAAGGTCATTTTCTTGCCATTTGAGAAAAGATCAATRCGATTTATTAGATTTGAAATATTTTGTAGGCTCAGGAAGTAGATGGTGCATTAAGGCTTTCTGTGGATGGCATATWYCTAAAKTGCCCCATRTGTTCAGTTAYTGCTCTTAAAAAAGACTTCAACAMTCATCTCAAAGAGTGCCTGGAAAYAGTGAGTGCATTCAGCATTAAGTTGAATTACAGATACACTCAGGCATAACATTGTTTGCCCAATAAAACTTTATTGGAATACTCCAGTTTYRAGATCTTATTTGTGCAGCCTTAACCTCGAAAGCATGTAATRTATTCTTTTATTCAGCAGAGAATCTATTGTAATGCAAACACTCTGTCTASA